CCCCAAAACCCCAAAACCCCAAAACCCCATGGTGTATAAATATGCTACCATGAGAAGGTTTATAAATGTAAATACTAATGAAAACTTACTACTTTTTGAAAATTTAAGTTAAAATTAGGAAATATATTAGTTTAATTTGAATAAAATAGGGAGAAAACCCAGTAAATATAAATTCATCGTGGTAAACAGAAATAACTTAATGAAACGAACAACACCTACTGAAGCAAATAAATTATAGTGAGTACAATTAGTTTCCACTCTTATATTAAACCATAACTATATATTTTAGCATTAAAATACAAGCTGACACAAAATAACTAACAAATGAACTACGCAAGAATAGAGATTACTATGGCAATGGTGATATATTTACGCAAAGAAACGTAGATCTCGTCAATCAATATCTCGTTACAATAGATGCTTACTGTATGAAGGATCTTAAAAGAGTAAGTGAATTGATGCTTCTAATCGTTTTAATAGTTAAAAGTCAAGGATTTTCCACCTTAGCATACTTGGTTTAACAGTAAACCTTTATCTTTTAATACAGAACTTAAAAACAAATTGGTATTAATTGATTTCTGGACATATTGCTGTATAAACTGCCTGCATGTACTACCTGATATAGAATACCTTGAAAATAAATTTGCATCAGAAAATAGCATTGCTTTTATGGGATGTCACAGTGCAAAATTCTTAAATGAAAAAGGAAGTACAAAAGTAAGAGATGCAATATTGAAATATGAAGTTAAGCATCCAGTCATAAACGATGATAAAATGATGGTATGGAGAGATTTTGAACGTCGGAGCTGGCCAGGAATCATTATTGTTTCGCCAAGAGGAGTGCCTATAATGATTTTAAATGGCGAGGGTTACAGGGATGTCCTTGATCTCTTTCTCTCAATTGCTTTCGATTTTTATTATGACAAAATGAATCATAAGCCAACAATTCAGATAGAGCTTGAAGAAACAAAAGCAACAGCCTCCAAAAAAAACCAGTAACTTTCAACTGAAGAACTGACTGCTTAAGCTCAGAATCTGAGATTCCCAGGGAAATTATTATGCATCGAAAAATAAAAAGGACTGGATAGCAGTCTGCTGATAATATCAGATACAGGTAATAACAGATTAGTACTGGTTAATGAGGAAACACATGATTTTATTGCCACTATTGGTAACGGAAAAATTGGACTTGTTGATGGAGGTTATGATGAAGCTAGTTTCCATCATCCATAGGGAATGTGCCATGTTTACAGAGACAACATGCACTTTGTATATTTATGTGACACCAAGAATCATGCAATCAGAGAAATTAACATATCGAAGAAAGAGGTATTAACAGTAATTGGAACCGGAGAAAAGGGATTTGATAGAGATGGAAATAAGGATCCTGAAGTATAGAAACTATCCAGTCCTTGGGATATTGTTGCAGTGAATAGAGATACATTACTAATAGCAATGGCAGGGGTTCACTAAATATGGGCACTCAATTTAAAAACTGTAAGATATACTCTGCTTATTCACAGAGCTTATAATAGAACAGATGCTTTAATTTCAGTGGATCAGGGAAAGAAGGAAATCTTAATCATAAATATGATTTGAAACTAACAGAATGGGCACAGCCATCTGGTCTAAGTTTAGGAGTAATCTCAAGCACTAAAGTAGAATTATATGTAGCTGTAAGTTATGATAAACTTAAAATTTATGTCATAGGATTCTGAATCATCTTGTATAAGAGCGATAAACATGAAATCTTTGAAATCTACTAGAGGTATAGTTGGTGGTGATACCAACCCTAAAAATCTGCATGCGTATGGAGATATAGACGGTCAAGCTACAACAGCGAGACTATAGCATCCACTTGGAGTCCATTTTATTAGTGATAAAAATGTAGTATTAGTTTCAGATACATATAACCACAAAATTAAAGTAATTGATCCATTTAGAAATGAGATTTTTACTTGGCTTGGAAATGGGAAGGCCTCTCTTAAGGACGAGAGTACTTTCAATGCTTCTTTTAACGAGCCAAGTGGTTTTGGATCAATTTATGATGCTAAAGCTCAAGATGTTAAGATTTACATAGCTGATTGCAACAACCACTGTATAAGATCAGTTATTTATGATTAGGGAGAGACAAAAACAGTTGAATTCAAGGGTATTCCACATGCAGAAGCCACTCCAGACAACGAGGAAACAGAGGGGACTACTAATAAGAGTGGTGCTAATGATGAGGACTTAATGGGTCTTGAATGTGACGGCAACCAATGTTACCCAAAGTTCTTTTGACTGTTTCGTAAAATATATCTATCATCCCTTAATTCATTTATTTCTCTAATCCTTATCTAAATAAATATTTAGTCTTAAGGGGTTTTGGGGTTTTGGGGAGATCGGAAGAGCACACGTCTGAAC